GAAAAACTACGGAAAACTGAGCCTCCCGCCACGCTAGAGAAAAGCGTGTACGGTAGGTGCCCTCGTACGAGGACACCGCGACCATGTAAAGTCTTTGTCCCCATCACGCCAGAGAAAGGCGTGTATGGGTCTTCGGTACCTGTTGCAAAAGAGAAGCAATGGTTTCCCCGCGAGCGGGTACTGATGAATATCCTGGTCTCGTCATAGGTGCCGTACCGAGTTCCCATCCCACCACGCTAGAGAAAAGCGTGTATATGCGGTTAGCCGGTGTGCCACGAATGCCGAGAACAGGATTTGGAACCGAGGGTCGCCAGCCTACCTCGTCGTAGGGGTCGCGCCGGTTTCCCTTCCCACCACGCTAGAGAAAAGCGTGTATAGGCGGTTAGCCGACTCGACACGCATGTAGAGGTAAGAGAGAGAGCAAGGGTCCGAAAAGATTTTGCAATATATATATATATATATTGAAAAAATATATATATATTAATATCATATATATAATAAACAATAATAATGACATTAATATTAATATTAATATCATAATTATATTACTACTAAATTATTATAATATTACTATTATATATCATTAATAATATCATTAATGATATTAATAATAGTAAATATTATTATAAGTAGTAATGTAATATTGATATTAATATTAATATTAATAACCATTAATATTAATAAGAATACAAATATACATAAAGAGAAAATGAGAGAGGGATTACCCTCTCTAAATTCGGGTATAGGCAAAGAGAGGGCTCGGTTTTGTTAGAAACAGAGGGGATCGGGCTCGATCTCTGGGAGGAATCGGAAGATAGAGGAGATCGGGCAAGGTAGGGAGCTTGGACGGAGCTCGGTCGGCAGAGGAAGGAGGTTGGGCGACCGGACTTGAGCAGGTGAGATTGGCAATGGGAGCTGAGGTTCGGTCGGGGAAGCAAATCCTCTCTCTCTCTCTCTCTCTCTCTCTCTCTCTCTCTCTCTCGGGACAGAGAAGGCGAGAGCCAACAATGGGTGGTCTCGATGGGCTCGGCTATGGGTGGAGGAATCGGAGGAGAGGAGATCGGGATTGGGGTCTCGGCTTCGGTTATAGAGGCTGGTGCAGAGAAAGGCCGGGATGTTCGAATGGTTGCAAAGGAAAGAAGTCGGAGGAGGAAGCCCGGTCGCTGGAGAGGAGAGCGCGAACGAGAGCCTTTCGTGCTCATTTTAACGACACGAGAAGCTCGTCGTGCAGAGTCGTGGCGGATGCGACGTCGATATGGTCTCGACGTGCGAGATCATGCGGGGTAGGGCGGGTAAGGGATTGATTTTTTATTTTTTTTTTTTTTTTTTTTTTTTTTTTTTTTTTTCATTTTCTACAGAGAAGGGTCAACACTTACAACAGCCACTTCCACCATATTGAGGATCCGGTTACCAGCATCTATAGGCTCAGGTTACACCCCAGAGAGAGATTGTTTTGGTGGTGGATGTTAAAGGGCTTAATCCCAACTAATCAATGGCTTCACATTAGAGGACTTCAGGAGGACCGAGGATGTTTTATGCCCGGTTGGATGCCATGAAGTGGAAGATACCAACCACGTTACGGTTAAATGTGGCCAGCTCTTGGCTACCTAAGGTATTCTCGGACAATGGGGTTTTTCAACAAGACACCTAAATTTGATTGCTTTCCAAGACCTACAAAAAGGGATTGCCAGAAACTTCTGAAGACTCCAGATGGTGGGCTTAAATCTATAGTTATGCTATGTACCAACGTTGGAGAAATAGAAATGAGAGACGGCATGGTCGGCCATACAACACCCCTACAGTCATGGCATATATGCTGATGGGGTTCGAGTGATTATCCGAAACAACCAAGGGGATTTGATTGTTGTGGCTGGGTGGAGAGTCACGCATTGGGACAACACTCAAGTTGAGCTCATGGAGATGAAGCACATTGACAGAATCATTTTAGCTTGGATGTTTGAATTGAAAGGGGTCATCATTGAGGGTGATAATGCTAGCATAATTACATATATGAAGAATTTCAAACATAAAAGTTCTTGGAGCATTCAGCCACAAGATTGAGAGTACTTCAATTGGATGAAATTATTCCACAAAGTTTTGTTTGTGCATATTCCAAGAAGATTTAATTGTGCTGCTCGTTTTTGCGCCCAAAGGGTTATAGATAGTTGTTTTACTTGGGGTTTGGGGAATAGTTGCACTCATTGTATTCCTCAGGAGATGTTTCATCCTTGAGGATGATAGGAGTTTACTTGTACATACTTAGTGGTTGTTTTGGCCCTCTTTCCTTTTATACATGTAATTGTTTTTTCCTTTGATAGTTGAATGCAATATATGCAAAATTTCACACCAAAAAAAAGTCCCTAGATAGAATCCTATTTATTAACAATATGATTGCTAGGACCACTTCTCTTTAAAGGCATTATTTTGAAATAATAAAGCTCGGGCAATAATAAGATGATGTCTATATTTTTATTTTGGAACTCCATTTTTTAAAAATGTATGAACACAAAAGAATTCATAGATAATCCCTTCTTTTATGGAGGAGGAAATTTGAACTTTGGTTGAAATATTATTTCACATTCTCAGATCTAGTAAGAACTCCAAATCGAGTTTTTTTTATTTTATGAAGATGAAAAAAAGGTTATGTTTAATTCAAAATTTTCTTTAACAACAAATAATCAAGTAGTTCTAATGTAATCATCAATAAAGGACACTAGCCAAATAACATAAGAGATGCTAAGAGTCCGATAAGGCCCCATATATTAGTGTATTAGGAAAAAAAAGAAAAGAGAATGTAGTATTACTTGATAAATAAGACGCATGATAATGTTTAACAAATTCATAAATACTATATCAGAATTTTTTAACATTATAACTCTTTAAATAGGATGGGAACATAATAAAAAAAAAGTAGGAGGATGTCCAAGGTAGACGTGTTGAATTCAAATCTCAGTTGATTAAGGGGTGTGAAAGATATTGATGAGCAAGACATTATTCGATGAATTTTTTGGGCTTTTCGTCGTTCTCATTCTTCTATGACAAATTACCCTACCACTTCCCATACATATCTACAAGTTCCCAATTTACATCATCCAAATTCATCCAATATATCAACTTCCCAACTTACATCATCCAAATTCGCTCGATCCTGCCACTCACCCTTTCATTTCCTCCAATATTTGCCACACACAGCCATCTATTAGATCTCTATTTATGTCCTCGCCAATTCCAATACCCAACGCTAACTCCCATTGTTCACACTTTTTTCATCATCTATCCATTCATCTCACAAACCCTCGATAGACCCAGCATCCTTCCTTTCTCAATGCCACTACCCAATCCAGCTTCCTTCCTGATTTTGTGAGGTTATGAAAACTATTTATACACATGATTTCAAATTTCAAAGATGTGAGAATTTAATATAGGGAAACTTAGATGCCTCAGATTGACATTTCTGGACAGCTTGGATCACCACTATAGATCCTTGAATTGCCACCAGTCTTTACAGAGGTTGCATAAAATATAGTTATTTTATAAGAGAGGAAGGTATAATTATGAACATCCAAAAAAAGATATTTGAGTAAACTCACTTTCTAGGAAACTTGAGAATATAGAGTTTTGTAAAAGATTATCAGGGTTAGTTGTTAAATTATTCTAATAAATAGTTTGAGTGGTGTTAAGAGTTTAAAAAAATAGCTCATATGTTTTTAGGAGGCTTTGTAATTCTATAAATACTCTCTATTGAGAGCATTAGAGAAAGCAATGAATGAAATAATGTAAGCATCAGTTAAGTCATTTAGCCCCCAATAATGGGGTCATATCAATGGTGTTCTCATCAAGCATCATCACTATCATGTGCCTCGTCACCATCTCACAAGTAATCATGTCAAAACACTTCCAGATCTTTCGCCATTATCCAAGTACTACTTCCCAAAGCACATATCCATTCCATCCACATCATCTCCATGCCCCAACAACACCCAGTACACAAAAAAAGGAAAATCTCAATTCTTGCCCAACAATGGAAGCATGATTTTTGTCGTTCTCATTCTTCTATGAAAAATTACTCTACTATCTTCCCATACATATCTACAACTCCCAACTTACATCATCCAAATTCAACCAATATATCTGCAACTTCCCAAGTTACATCAACCAAATTTGAGGAAAAGGTCAATTTGAAGAGGTGGATGATGATAGAGTTTTGTAATGGATTATATGGTCTAGTAGTCAAATAAGTATAATAGGTAGATTGAGTGGTATTACGAGTTAATATGCCTTTAGGAGTCTTCATAATTCTATAAATACACTTTATTGAGTGTACTAAGGAAAGCAATGAATGCTATGAGATAAGCCACCCTCTCTTTGTTTTCTACTCGTCTTGTTCTTCCCCGCACAATTTCTAAAGTTGAAACCCTAGAATCAATCATTTATTGCGATCCCAATAGAGTTGCATCATATGACTAATAGAAGCAATACAGATGTAAATGGCATGACAGGGCTAAAAACCTCACCTAACTTTGCCACCTGCATTAAATAAGCAAGTCCCACTGAATCAAGAACTTGAAAACAAGTCGGGGTTATTAATCCAAGACTTGACTAAAATATTACAAATGATTTTCCAATTACTGTAAATGCACATCAAACCCTACCAAAAGCTTCAAACCTGTCATCAATTGAAGTAATAGACTGACTGACAAAAATTTCATTAAAGAACAAATAGATGCATTCAAAATCATCTAAAATATGGGCAATATGGTCAAAATATCAATATAGATGCTAACACGCATCATTAAAGCACAATAAACTATCTCAAAAGACAAATTAAAAAAAAAAAGTTTAAACTTAACAACATTATAAAGGGAAAATGTTTGCAAGAGACAAAATGAGACTTAAATAATTAGAATATTGACTAATTTTAAGGGATTCAATTCGCATCTCAATTCGCATCTTCACGATAAACTCAACTAAATAAATAGAGTCAACAAGCCCAAAAATACCTCAAAACTGAATCTGAGGATAAAACACCTAAATGGTTACTGCTGTAAGGGTGCCAAGTCGCTTGAAGTATTCTTAAGCCATTGTTATTGCTAGAAAAGAGTCTCGAACCAACTAATACTGTCCTGCAATTTATACCATTTGTCAGCTCCATTAAAAACTCAGAAGACAGATAAAGCAGAAAAGAAACCACATTAGCCTAATAGCACCTAACATCACCAAACATAACTAAATTATAACTGGAAGTCTTCACTAGTGTTGAAAGATAGATACATAACATGCAGAACTGAAGAATCAACAAAAGAAAACGAAGTCCTTTGGATGTTTTAGTTCTGTTTACACAGCAGCGTTACCTATCTCATTCGATGAAGCTTGATCTACGCATATGTGCTAAAAGTGTGGTTACATGGTTACATGAGCAAGAAAAGAATAATTCAAATGACATTGGGAACAAGGCAACTTATGACACTACATTTCTAACTATAATTTATAGCCTCCAACACAAAATAAAATAAAGCTAGTATAATTGAAACTTTATACAACATTTTAACCAAAGAAACCCATGTCATAATAGAACAAATCCTCCAATTCAAAAAGCATTGCGATTGCATTAAGATGAGGCCTTTAAAATCAACAATACTGGTAGATGCTCATAAATTGCATGCTCTTCTTCAATAGAAACTGCAATTTTAAAGAAAAATGAATAAAAGAAAATTAAATGGTAGAATTAATCAACATGACTGATAGGCTCCCCGACATTTACATAAGAGAAGAACAAAAAATAGTTAGTTAAGAGAGGCAGATGGGTCCATTTGAACAGGATTGGAAGGAGAACCACATGAAATGATTCATATAAACCATGAAAACATAAAAGAATCCATGTCAACATTACAAAGGCCTGGCAAGTCAACCGAGGGGCTTTCTTTGACAGATTAGAATTAGGTTCTCTTAAAAGGCTAAATAATTCTGAATATTAGGACATGAAAAAAGGTAAGCAACATTATGTAGCAAAATTAAATATTCCACTAGCAATTTGGTATTTGCCCCAGTTACTTGAAACAAGTTTTCAACATAACGAATAATTATTCTTCGGACAAATGATAAAGTTTCCCAACTATACCTGCAAGAAATTTTTCCATCAAAAGAATAAGTCCTTTCGTACAGATGCATGACACTTAGTCCTTCAGAACCAGTAAGAAGCAATGTTGAGCCATCCGTATTAAGAGAAATATCGTGGACTGTAGCTTGAATATCAATATCAGTCGAGAATATCTGGGGCATAACATATTGATATAAAATACAGTATTCTCTAAGAGATGAAATCAGAATGTTTACACAATCAAAATCCCTAAGATTTGCATAGCTCGCTTTAGAAAAACATCCAGATATGAGTATGATACTATTGGTTAAAGCACAATAAAATGATGATCAAGGTTCAATATATGCTAATTGTACACTTAATGAAAACTAAAATGGTACATAGACTACACCTAATAATCCTCAGACTATGATTGCATCCAACCCATGAGGTAAATAACCATGTAGTGCATGCATGAAGCGTGCATTCAAAATCATCAGACCTTCAATACTACTAAGATTTTGTTTGGTACAGCTTTTTGATGCTTTGCTTTTATTATGTTTTATGAAATGAAATTATAATATTCTGACATAGAATTACAAGTTGCTTCATGAAACAATTCATAAGCTTATGAACAAATAGACAAGGCACACCTGCATTTAGGGGATTTTCTAAGCACATCCCCCATATAAACTTAAATTGTTTCTAGGAAAGGTAAGCAGGAGAAATTTTGCACCAACGGAACCCTAAGAGAAGGAATGTCTTAGAACACATAAGAGCGGATCATTTATATTAACAACAGCTTCTGGCAATTTACTTCAGATCCAGTCAGCCAGATCAAATCCATTTCAAATATTTCCTGATTACATGTGATTCTAGCATCAAAATCATATTTTGGGTACATAGGTAAGAAAAACCATATGATGAATGAAAATGATTCTTAATGCCTGTTCCTCTTTAGCAAAATTTGACAATAATTAATGCAAAGAAAAAACTTAGTATTACTTTGCATGTCAAATATTTTCAACTGTACGCACATAAAATTTAAATTATTTATACCATCAAAATTAAAAATTTAAAAGATGATAAGTCTGGATGATAATTAACTGCCTTCATGCCAACTAAATGGTCAATCCATTTCCTTCAAATTCATTTACGTTGCAGGATACTGAAATAGCTATCCTTGTTTACGTACTTGAAGATAAGTGATGAGGACATCGTTCAGAGATTCAGACATGTGTACCGGCGACGGAATCGTAGATCGACGGCTACGATTCAGCGTCTTTACTTTTGATGCATTATGTTTTATTTAGTCTTGTTGTATGCATTATGTTTTATTTAGTTTTGTTGTTTCCGATTTTACCCCTATGGGGGAGTGTCTTGTTATTGTAGCCCGAAGGGCGAGTTTGTACTTTTCCTTTTCATGTTAGAGACCTATATATAGTGGTCCTATGTGTTGTAGTAGGATGATGAATGATTAAATAAATTTTTGTTGTGTCTTCTTCTTCCTCTTGTGAGCGCACTAGAGAGAAGGGAGAGCCCAACGTGTGGGCAAACGCAATACCCACCGGTCACCGGAAGAGTCCGTGGCTCGTGGTCTTCTTCTTCGTTTCTATTCTATCTCTGATTATCACCCACCGTCTTCTCTTCATCCTTCCCCTCTCATCCCGCCACCAAAATACCACCTTGATCTCCACCTAATTCCCCTCCCACAACCCCCACCCGCTGGCCTAGGCCCCTAGCTCTTGGCCACCCCAAACACCAAGCCCACTTCTTCCCTCTTGACCGCCGGCCCTATACACATCTCAAGTCATTATGATGATTTTAAATCGTCATAATGACTCCTAAATTGGCTCTTTCAATAAAGGAAGGAGTTAGAAAATTTTGAAATTCAAATTTGAAATTCAAAAACTTTCCATATTTACAAAATTTTAAATAAGGAAAGTTTTCAAATTTGAATCCAATCTAAATTTAATTTAAAGAGGCGTAACTTGTTTGGAAAGTACTTAACTCCCCCACAATCCTCTCCCCTCTCCCTCTTAATGCCGCCGGCCCCATGCATGGGGATTTTCCCCTTTGCTTCCAGATGAGACCTCTCCCTCTTTAATTTTGAATTCAATTTTAAAATTATTTTCCTCCAATTCTACTTAAAATCTGAAATTAATTTTATATTTGGATTAAAACTTTCCTCCTCTCTTCAACCTAACCTAATTCCTCTCATTCAAGCCGCCTCTCTCTTTTCCCCACCCTTGGCCGCCCCTCCTCTTGTGAAACCCTAGTTTGCTCATGAATATTGGAGTCAATATAAGAAGACAAGTTCCTCCTTCCTCATCGTCATTGGTGCATGGCCGATCCTAAGGTCGATCACGGCTTCGCTTACAATGCCCTAGGGGAAATCGACATTCTCCGCTCCCCTTTCTACGAGCTCGACTGGGAGTACGACAAATCGGTGGAAGACTACGTCAACCGCATCCTCTAATGCTTAGCGGAGATGATTGATCTTCAAAAACCTAAGACGCCTTGGCTTCTCATTGGGAGATCTACCCCTTCTCCACCCTCGGCTACCTCTCCATCAACAAAGATCTTCGATAACATCTTCCTAGTGATAGTCTCTTTCCTCGTATGCTTCGTCTTCATCCGCTAACGCCTAAGAGTGATTGAGTGAGAAGGAACTCTAAGTGACTATATCTTGATGTTACGTTGTGGATTCGTGTTTACTTGCTATTAACATTATTATTTTGTGTTCGTAGTTATTGTGATTGTCTTGTTACCCTACTTGTAACTTTTGTCATCACTTATTCTCTTAATGAAAATTCTATGAATTTGACTTGAGTGAAACATAAGTTCTTAACTAGCAAAGTTTATGTTCAATAATTATTGTTAAAACCTAAGCAACTCTTGTCGCCGGTATGTTTCACATCAATAAGAATGTAGTAGCACATGTATAAATATCATGCAATAAAAACATATTGACAACCTGGGAAATAGCAAGCATGAGTGCCTCTAATAACCACAAATACAGAGAGCGAGTGAGTGAGAGAGAGACTTGTTGGAATGACATCTTATGAATTGAAGTGTGGAAATTTCTAAAATAGTCGTAGCACCCATGTCCGCTAAGTTTGAATTCTATCCTCGACTAGTCGAAGAATTCCCGTCACATATCCCATTTGACATATTCGCTTAACCAATTTAAAAATAAGAAGTAAAAACTGCTAAAATTAGGCGAATGAGAGGCAGTAATACAAGAATTTCACTTGCAGGATAAGCACGTTCTGGTTTTCAACTTGTTTCCTAGCAAATTATTAAGGTATGTACATACAAAATGTGTGTGTATTGTATGAGTTATAACTATTTTTGAATGAGGGATGTGAAGGGCCAAACAAAGCCCAAATTACAAAATGGTTATATGAATGTGTTGGGTGGCAGGCTGGAGATCAAATTGGGCAGTATGAAGGTCCTAATACTGAAACCACCAAAGAATTCTAAAACTAAAATGCTTTGCATGTTATGCCAAACTGCAATAAGCCCAGAGTTCATTCCTGTTCATGCAAACTAGAAATCATGGAATTCCTTTTCTTGAGATTGTAGCACTCTGTGAGCTGTGTTTTGAAGACTGCAGCAATCAACAACCTTTCTATTTCTTGGTACTACAGCAGCTTGCCTTCTGCAAATTTGTTTTTTGGAGACCTGTAGCAATCAGCCCTTTTAACCTTCTTTGGCTTCCTTCAGGCTAGCGCCATGGCACCATGATAATCGGGCAACTTTCGTTATACAACTATTTCGTAGTTTTCATTTCTTCTTTTTGTATGTTGGAGCTTGTGAAATTTTTTGAATTTGACAAAATCTAGATGGAATTTGAAAGTTAGTATTTTGGTTTATTGGGGCTATAAATTATAAGATCCTCAAGGCATATAAAAATCAATTAATATTGAGTATCAAAAATAAAATTCTAATTTTTCTTATGAATGTCGAGCACTTTATAGATATTGAGAACTACATCAAGAAGCAAGTTTCCATTTACCTGCATAAGTACTAAGTCCTGAGGAAATTTCAAGGTTAGTTGACAATTTGGAATACTTCTTTAGGTATTACCATCTATATCACCTTGAAAGATTTGAATATGATAAATTTAAACAAGTAGGTTGCACTCAATGTTTTTGACAAGACATTGCAAGTGAACTAAAACCTGCGGACAAAATAGTTCTAGTGTCACATTAAGATTTGTGGAAAAAATAGTCCTAGTGCCATTGCATCTTATGATAGGTTCACTGAGATTGTCATTGAACAATGTTAGCCTCGAGACAACCTTGTTATCATTATGTGTTTTATTAAATTTCTAGGGCAAGAGAATAAAAACAACTTAATACAATTTACCAAGAGCCCTAAGTGAGGCTTTAATCAAACCTTTGAGTATTAAGACATACTATGAATGATTTATTAATAATACCGCACCCATAAATAAAATCCCTAAAGAGAAATCTTTTAACTTTCCCTGTCAAACCAGTAAACATACACCAGCACAAAAATCATGCATGGTCAAACCAAATCTTATTGAAGAAACTATAGTTCATAAATATCCTTTGATGATGAATTGAATAAAAAACTTATAGTTGCAACTGGATTTTTATAATATTGTGGAGTTCGAATATGCACATGTATAAGCATGTATTCGTGAATTTAAATTTGAACAAGAATCAAATCCCTAAATTGAAATTGACTATCAATTTGAACCTACAATTATGTTAGAATATCAAAATTTGAAACAAAACATATGCCTAAAAAGGAGCAAGAAGTTAAGCATAAAATTGAACTTGAATATGAAATCAATCCAATCTTAGACTAAACTTTAATTACAAACTATATTGGAAATTAAAATTGGACTCATATTCATATTTCAACCTAAATAAAATATAAGTCTTATCTTGATTGTGAATCTAAATTCCCAATAAAAAATGAATTTATTCTTGATTGCGAACCTAAACTTCGAATAGAAACTCCTGTATTTTAACATAAGCTTCTGATATAAATGAATTCAATATTAATTAAGAATATAAACCAATCAAGTATTTTGCTATCAATGAGCAAACCAAGAAAACTGATCAAGTAAATCCTAAATGTGGAAGTGAATAGATCATGCCTACTAAAGCTGATAAATCAATTGAACAAGTTAATTTAACTTCTATTGAAGATTACAGTAAACTCATCTCCATAAGGAAAATTGAATTTCATGTTGGTTTCTATTCTTAATTTATTGACGTACAAATTCATTAAAAAAAATTTATGAAAAAAGTGAATTGTGTAATAATTTTAACAAAATTTGTTAATGGGAAGCACCTGGAAGAAAATGAACACTAATATTCTATCTATCTAGTAATATTTTAAACTATTTGAGTAAAAGTTTTTTTTTAAAGCAGATTGTTCATTCATACATGCATTTCATATTTGTACCATGTAAGTTTTAATTTTTCTTTTATCACCTTATCATAAAATAGAAATAGGTTGTAAATCATTATTAGTATCCCTTATGAAGCATGTTGGCATTCTAGTATTTTGATGACTTAATTCAAGTCATTTGCATAATTTATTAATTTTTATGAGGAAATTCACAGAAAATTAATTGTTAGTTATAGAAATTATAAGTCTATTATTTATGTGAATGTGAAACAAAAGAGCAACTGCGGTTCAACTTCCCAAAGTCTATTGTTAGTTAAGGTAACAGATATGGTCATACAGGATTTGCTTCATACTGTCTCCATTGTAAAAATTTTGGAAGCTGATGCATAGAAGGGAACTGCTATGAAAAGAAAATCATGGGTGAAGCTTAACCTTTCTATCTTATGCAACATCTTTCTTTGAAACATATGTTGATGAACAATAATAGCAACTGCGGTTCAACTTTTGCCACCAAGAGGCTTCTAAACGAATAATTAGTTCATACTTCGTATAGACAAATCGCGCGAAGAAAAGACCGATTAACCTCACACAATGTGCATGTTTATGTTTACTAAGTCGTGCGATTAACCAAAAAAACCCAAGATGCTCATAATATTCTAGTAAATCCAATAAAAAAACAAGATTTTATCAACTAAAGAATTCTAAATAAAATGTTTAGGAAAAAAAAAATCAAAAGTATAAAAAAAGACCATGGAATAACTGGAAGCACTGGTAAAAGATTTTCATAAGAAGAGGAGACGCAAAGACCTCAGATGGGAAGGCCGCCTCTACCACCACGGCAGAGAAAGATGTGGAGCGGGAAACGGGATCTGGATCGCGGAAACGTATGGCGAGGCGGTGGACGCATTGGGATCCTGCATCCCAGAGGTAAAGGCGAGAGGAGCCGGCATCCCACGCCAAGAGATTTTGAAGGACGCTGGAAGAGGAAGAGGTGGTTCCCGAAGCGTCAATGATGGCGGTGCTTCTACTGCTGTTGCTGTTGCCAAAGATAGGATGCTTTTCGAGCGCCACCCACTCGAGGGTTTTCTTTGACGAAGCCGGAGAGGAGCGTCGAGGGCTTTCGCCATCGCCGCCAGTTCTGCTGTTCATGCGACTGTCAATCTTTGAGCTCGAATCCGCACTTTCGCGGCTCATCTTGGGACGATGACGGCGGAACGGTGAACAACCGAGAAATGAGCGCGGAACTGGATTTTGTAGAAGCCTCTAAAAAATGTAGGAAGGACCATCTTCCTTTTGTTTTCCAAAATTTTAATAGATTCTTTCAATAAAGTCACACTATGAAATCAGTCTTATTCAATGGAACTTTTATTTGGTCCGGTGCAAGTACCTAGAGGAATGTTCGGTTTTGTCTAAAAAAGTGCAAATACTGAAAGATAGGATGCTTTTCGAGCGCCACCCACTCGAGGGTTTTCTTTGACGAAGCCGGAGAGGAGCGTCGAGGGCTTTCGCCATCGCCGCCAGTTCTGCTGTTCATGCGACTGTCAATCTTTGAGCTCGAATCCGCACTTTCGCGGCACAACCGAGAAATGAGCGCGGAACTGGATTTTGTAGAAGCCTCTAAAAAATGTAGGAAGTACCATCTTCCTTTTGTTTTCCAAAATTTTAATAGATTCTTTCAATAAAGTCACACTATGAAATCAGTCTTATTCAATGAGAGCTGATTCATAAGTGAAGGACTATTCCATTTGATATATTTCAAATACAAAATAAAATAAATTTTATGTATTTTAAATTTGATTTGTTGTTTGATTAATTACACTCCAAATGGAACAAAATAAAATATAGGGATTTTTACATACATAACACTTAAAAGTTTCTTATTTACTCATCTAACATCTAAAGTTATCTAATTACACACCTACCACTTAAAACTTACTTGTCTTTCTAAAATACCAATCCGTCTGCCTCTCCATCAAAATCCACACGACGATGGCTTCTTCGCACGCGAAACTTATCTTCCATTCCTCTTGTTTGAGTGGCTCGTTTGGCGTTTGCTCATCTTCTCTATTTCGTCGAACGCAGAAACTCGTCTTCGTTCTTGTTGAAATGCTGCCCACCTCCATTTTGAACGAACATCCAGACAGAGTATAATCGCTCGATGTGTGGTGTGAGCTTTAGTAATCGGCCTCCCGTCTGATCGTCCTCGATCCGTCATTCCAGAAAGCCTCATTGGGGCAAAAGCTTTTGACGTCTTCGATCTCCCGTTCGAAGAGATTTTGACATCAGATGGTTCTACATAAATTATTCTGCTTATGTAATCTAGTTATTCACACAATTGCAACTTTTTTGTAATTCTGGTGCGCAACAGATATTTTGACATCAGTTCATTCTATAGAAATTAGACAAAAGACATAAGTTTTGTGAAGATTTTAATCATCAGAAACAATTAATTCCACCTACATCATTTTACGCATCAGTTTTTAGATCATTTTTGCATTGCTTACATTCCATCTTGTCACAGTTAGAAGATTAAAATCACATCCACCTATAGATTTGGCATAAATAGGTTGTTGTCACAGAACAATAAGGTTCAAAAGGAATTATTCAACAAACATCAGTATATCCAAAATGCCAATTTGACAACAACATGCTCTTACCAATTCACTTAAGAACTAAATTAACAGAAACACAAGACCCGCACAAAATCGGATACCGAAAATGAGATTTGCCAAGCGAAAAAGAAATGTAGAAGACAACAACGATGTCGAGATTTCAAACTGAGATTCTTACATATTTCTCAAAAAAATTTTGAGAAACCGCCAATGCGAAAGAACGAACTCTAGACAGAGAAATGGGGATAACATTTTTCAAACATAGATGGAGAAATATCTTTTGTCTAATTTCTATAGACGGACAAATGTAGAAGACGAAACGAAGATGCCGAGCAAAGAGAGAACCCTAGACGAAGAAATGGGAAGACCGAATGGGAGAGTTGCCAAGCGAAGAAGCCAACGTCGTGCGAGTTTTGATGTAAGGAAGACGGAATGGTATTTTAGATAGGCAAGTAGTTTTTAAGTGGTAGGTGTGTAAATAGACAACTTTAGGTATTAGATGAGTAAATAAGAAACTTTTAAGTGTCATATATATGTAAAAATCCCTAAAATATAAAGATTCTTTCCATGAAATTCAAAAACATAGAAATACACATTTGGACATAAGACCAGGGCTGGTAGAGCCATTAGAGGCGAGGGTAGGACACTGTAGGTTCCAACAAGTGGTGAGCTCAAGGGCTGCTAAGGCAATAATTGTTGAAAGGTTTGCATGAGGCCACTGGGGCGGAGGGCAATGTCACATGTTAGATATGAGGGCTCTTGAGGAGTCACAACGTGGAAGTGCAAAGTTGTCCTATGGATAGAGGGTGGTGACAGTCATGATGGCAGAAGCAAGTTAAGAAATTGCACTTATGATAGAGTGCGGAGGGTTGAGTGCAAGATGAACTCATAAAGTTAATGATTGATCAGAAAGTCATGCGTAAGGCGAATGGCATAGCGCTAAGAAGAGAGGTGAAGTCATGAGGGCTCTCAATAGTCACGGTGTCTTGCTTGAGGGTCATAAATGCTATGAGAGCAACTGTATTTTGAATTTGTTCAATTTAGAAAAATTTTGAATATGCTAAAAAGAAACTAGATAAGATATTCTAAATTCCTCTTAAATTTACTTTGTAATGTTATTTCAATCAACACTTAAAAATTAAAAAACTTATTCTTTTTACTCTACACTCAACATATGTCGTAACAAATAGCCTCTAAATAAATTTAAGTGGGAAGTTTTGGAAGCTTGAGTAACTTGAATTAGGTGTTTTGTTTGTTAAAGAAGATAAGTTGATATAAGCCTCAAATATTAGGTGCGGAGTGCAGACGGGGGAGCACCGTCTGCACACACAGAAGGTACCAAGCGGTATCTAGTGGTACCGAATGGTACCTAGCTGGATTTTATACTAGTGTGGGGACGGTTCTCCCCGTCTACACTCCGCACCTAATAATTTCTCTGATATAAGAGACTAAGAGAGGCAGGACAAGTGATCACACTAAGACCAATTTCAAAGGCTAATTTTCATTATAATTTATTTTATTTTGCTTAAGAAATATAGTGACTAGTTATGCGAGGTTTTGAGAGAATATTTTTAATATAAATATTTATTTTGGAATAAATTAAACCGCCCAAATAAATGATTCAAGAATTTTTTATTTTTTTTTTCAAATAGGGAGATATCTTGAAGGGCTATCATTGTAGCCTATAGATAAATTTTCAAAGAAAATTTTTGAATTATTTTCTTATGAATTTTTGTATCTCTTTTACACTTCATGTATTATTTATATTCTTATATCTTAATAAAAATTTTATCCATAAGGAGTTGATGATGCCAACTTTTGGATTAATTTGTGAACCGATCATAGTTAAAGTTTGCAAATCCTAATCTATTATTTTATCTTCTTTTTTTTTTTTTTTGTTAAACTACATCCCTACTACCTTCCCAAAGTCTTTGCACACTTCAACCCTCATAAGAAATTGAACAATACCACTTTCATGGAATCATAATTCATATTATCTTCGTTGCATACCGGAACATTTGCGGCGGAAGAGAAATAAGAAATTTAACATCTTAGCTTTGAACGAAGATTCAACACACAGACTGATAAAAGAGAGAGATGCAAGAGTTAAAAAAGACACTAAGATTTTCACGTGGAAAATCCTGAAAATGAAAAAAAAAAACATGGGACCTAACTTAGTTAAAATGGTTCTAATAGTTTTTATTGTTGATTACAAAAGAGGTCCTTCCTTGGAGGGAAGGCCTTAGCTAGATGTAGTAAATATACATCATATAAAGCATGTTGCATGGTGAGAGTTGTAAGAATCTAGTGATATAAGAGTTTCTCCCAAGAGAGTGTTTACAAGTTCGTTCAATCAATAGTACCGTAGTAGAGCGATAGTGATTGGAAGGACCGTAGTCGACTGGGGATGGAGAACGAAGGGATGGTAATTGGCGGGCATCAGCAGTCGGAGTGACCGTACTCAAGACCCCAACGTCACTCCACTCACCTAAATTCCAAAAAACCGAAGACCCTGGCGCCGCAACACCTAGTAGACTCAATGCCGCAACGCGCCCTTAGACAATTTTTAGGAATTTACTAATATTAAACTTGAGGCTTTTATAAAGAGAGAGATAGAGAGAGGCTTAAGCAGTTCTTAAATGTATGAGTTGGTGTGAGATTAAGGGGGACTTAACTCATCTGAAACTAACCAATTTAAATTTTAAACTTTAAAATATTTTAATCGATATTTAATTCAGAAATTTAATATAATATAATTTGGCCAATCCCTAAAACAAATGTTATTAAGTTTTTTTTTGAAATAATTTGATATGCCAAAATTAATTAATAAAGATGTGTTAAACTTGATCGAGCCAACCCAAGTGATCAAGTTCACAACCCCGATAAGATGCGTGTGATCAAATGGAGATCAAGGTTGAGTTGAGAAAGCACGATCTAACTAAGATTGTAATCACAACAAGACATGCGAAATATAACCATTTTTGTGAGAAGTGCATGATCAAATAAATATATAAGACAGCCCATGGTTAGATGGGCATCACAATTATGACAAAATACACAATATAATGAAAATCCAGACCACAATGCGATACACACAATTAGGGGTGTAAATGAGCTGAGCCGACTCGCAAGCTGGATCGAGCTCGACTCATTTATGGGCTCGCGAGCCGAACTTATCGAGCTCTCGAGTTCGAGCTTGAGCCGACTCTACTCGTGAGCTTGCGAGCCGGCTCGAACAAATATTAATATTTTTAAAATAATTTTATTTTATTTATTAAATTTAAATATTAAAAAAATTAATAAAAATATCCTAAGTTTTATTTAAATTTTAAGCATTTCATATTTATTTTCTAAATTTTGACTAAGTTTTAAAAATCCCGTTTAATTTATAAAAATCCCGTCTAATCTTTAAAAATCCCGCCTAAATTTAAAAATTCCGCCCATGGCGCGCGAGCCGGCTCGAGCTCGTTCACAGTGATACAAGCTCGAGCTCGAGTTCGAGTTTGAGCTTCCTTTCCAACTAACGAGCCAAGCTCGATAAGGGTCTAAACGTGACTCGACTCGACTCGTTTACACCCCCACACACAATCAAATAGAGATTGCGATAATGACTAGATAAGCATAGTTGAAGGAAAATCCTGATCACAACAAGATGCAAGCAATTGAAATGAGATCATGATTGTAATGGGGTGAGCGATAGAATTGAAATCTGATACAGAGTAAAAAATTTTCCAAATCTACATATATATGAATTTGTATAAAATATGATCAATAAAGTAACAAAATTCACAGGTGAGCAATAGAATTGAAATCTGAATTTGAGAAATGGTAGCAACCATCATCCCCACAAATTGTATTTATTATTCTATGTGGAGTTCGAATGGTGTCCAGAGACCAATAAAAATACGCCACGTCACCTCAAAAATGTACCGCGCTCGGGGAACCGTCCGGTATCCGGACAGAATAATAGCTCCACAAATTGACACCCACTGCATTTCTCTCACATGAGCCACACACGCCATCAACACTGACGTCAACATCCGTTGTCAACAAATATCATTGTTATTAAGATAAGACGCCCAACATCAAGACTAATGTCAATACCCTATGATATCTACAAATGTCAATACTCATCTTCTTGATCATTAGTCTCCCATCCTACAAGGAAAACATTCAAGCAAACCATCCCGAAATTAACCCGTTTTTTACCTAAAAACCCATTTGACCCGACAACCCGAGATTGACCTGTTTTAACCCGAAAAGCAGAGATTGACCCATTTTTTGTTGGCATCGGATCATTCGGGTCGTGTTGGGTTGACCAGGACCCGAAGCAGGTAGGGTTTGAGTTCGAAAAACAGACCCATTTGCAAAAGCGGGTCGTGTTCGGATTAACCCGAATAGTGTCGGGTAAATTTTGGTTCGATCTGAACCCGACCTATGACCCGAAATTGACACCCCTAATGACATTAAATGGTTTACTTTTTAGTTATATGTTGCTCAGTCTCATATTAAAACATGCATATTGATCTTCGTTACATTGTAATTGAGTTTGATAACATTACTTATTAACTGCTGAATGTTAGCTCACTCCCTGGCTTGAAAGTGTCAATGAAGTCATGGACGTCATGTTGAAGGTTGGGCTATTATAATGCTCCTGGCTGGGCGATAGCCTGTTTTTTAAACCATCATGGCCGCCAATTAATATGGTGTGGTAGTGTTTGAGAAGGGCATTTTTGAGACAAGAACAAGCTGGAAAAATGATTTGGCCTTTCTTATGAAGCAATTCGTCTTGAAATGAATAGTTGGGGGTAGTTTGTAGGCTTTGTTTAAATATCTTGAATTACATTGGAGCATGGGATTAGTAGAAGTTATTACACTGGAGTGAAGCTATTATGAGTGGGGTGGCGATTGTAGCAAATCCCCGAATGAACTTGCTGAAAAACCAGACGGAGCTGAGGAAACTACAAAGAACTTTTAGGGGTATGTGGCTGAGCCAAGCAATGATGGTATGTAACTTATTATTGTTTGGTTTAATGTCTGCAACAAATACATTGTGCCCCAAATATTCAATATGATTGTTCAAACAAGCATTTGAAATGCTATAGGCGAAAGACATTGTTCTTGAAAATTGAGTGCAAATGATTCGAATGGGAATGAATGGAGTCGCTAAAAAGGAAAATATCATCAAAGAAGATGATAACAAACTTGCACAAAAATAGTTTGAAGATAAAGTTCATAATAGTTTGGAATGTAGCTGATGCAATAAGCAAACCGTGTGGTATCAAAATGAATTTATGTTGGACATCATAGGTTTGGTATGTAATATTGGAAAATGTCATATGCCGCGATGTGAACTTGATGATAGCTCACACATAGATCTAAACAAAACTGTAGCACAATGGAGCCAATCAATCATCTCATCGACGTAGGGATTGCAAATCTATTAGAAATTCGATAGTTTGTAGTCAACGAAAAAACGTCAAGTCCATTCTTTCTTTTTAACAAGACCAGTATAAAAAAGGGGTGTTGCTTAGGCGGATTAAAGCATTTCATAAACAAGTTTTTCAATGTGATTTTTCTTTTAAGTGTGGATTCCTATATGGTCAAACATTGATCGGATTAGTACCCTCTTTGAGGTGAATATGTGACCATCGTCACAAGGTGGGGGTAATTGTTTGGGTTCTTCAAAAAGGTCGGAAAAAATATTAATTACGATGAATGATTCAGGATTTGTGTTTAAGGTGATGGATTTTTGAGGTGTACTTATGTCTGCTAGGATTTTTTGACAAGAAACAATGAATCCTTCAGTATTTAAATTCAGAAGTTGCCCACATGGACTATGATCTAATTGCATGGTCTAATCCCCTTTTAAGATCAATGGTGTACCATACCATGTAAAACTCCTTGTTAAGGTTATATAACTAGTAAGGATATTACCTAACTATTGAAGCCACTTTAGGCCTAAGATATTGCCAAACCCTTGTATGGGAAGGACAAAGAACTCTAATGTAAATTGATGAAAATATAACAATAGTGAAGTATAACAACATTTGCAATTACACCCTAATTATTCGTCATTTTCGAGAAAGACATGTAAAGCAGGTGTTAGCATGTAAATGTAGACGCTCCACTAGGCATTGTTGAATGAAAGTATATATCAAACTACTGTCAATAAGGACTTGAATGTTATTGCTGGTCAGAGTGTGATGCATGCAACGTTGGTTGGCTATCCAAGGCATCATGACAAATCTCCGGGTATAGATTTTCAGAGGTTGGCAATGTGGGTTGTGTAATTTCTGGGTTATTCTTGTCGGGTGAGCCTTCATTTGGGATGACTTTCTTACTGCTTAAAGCGACTTTCTAGTACAAAAAATTTAACTTTTTAACTAAAAAGCCGCTTTAAGAAGCACGAAGAAAGCCATCCCAAACGAAACCTGAGGCATCCAGGTGGAAGTATTTGTTTCGATCAACACAGAACGCACTTTGCCTTTGAAAATGGATAGAGATACACTCAAAAAAGAGGTCAACACTAGCACCAAAATTTGGTTGATAAAGGTGGATAGTAATTCACCGGCAACTCCTAACCTACTATTCCTATGAATAGTGGATCGTGATTTCATCTGAATTTAGTAAAATTCACTATTTCGTATACCAAAAAAAGGTATGATACGGCAGGTTCAAGATTGATTTCCAATAATGAATTAGATCGTGCCGATAGAAATCCTTTTGATTCCAAGGCGAAGTTTCAATTATTTCCCCAACATCAGGAAACTCTTGGTACGTTGTTGAATCGAAATAGGAATGCCAATCTTTAATGATTTTGTCATCATCCAATAGTTTTTGAATCAGCCCCTAACAGTGAAAAACAAGGGACAAGATAAAGTTGAGAAGAAAAGCCAATTGATTTTGAAATACCCTTTTCCTGTATCAAATTACATGATATAGTATATTGATAGTATGATTGCAATTCAACACAGACTATGGCTTCATTTGGGACGGCGTTTTTACTGCTTCTTGAAGCAGTTTTTTAGTATCAAAAATTTAATAATAGGACACAATGGAGAAAAAGGATTCATGTAGCCGACCCCACGTAGTGGGATAAAGGCTTGATGTTGTTGTTGTTGTTGTTGTACTAAAAAATTGCTTCAAGAAGCAATAAAAAAGCCGCCCCAAACGAAGCCTATATCAGCATTTGACAAGTATCCCCCTCCTACAATATCTTAAAGAACCCATCCAATACTCTAATGACACCAATGTCTAGCATTCTTGGCGCAATGAAGTATGTGGGTAGGCACAGAAATGTCCATATCAAATCACCTACAAACATATAAACTGAAACAAACTGGCCTTAAAAACTTCAAACTCATGATTTCTTCATGAGGAAGGAAAAGAGAGACTTTGAGTTTGAGGTGATGGCACACCACATGACACAAACCCCGTCGGAAGACTCTTAAATCATTTACATGCAAATGGAATGTTATCCTCCCACATTGGCACTATTCTCAGACAAAATCCCTAAACGAAAATTTTTACACAGTTTTCTATAAGAAACTTGGAGGAGCTCATTAAACATGAATGATGAATTGTTCAAAGAAAGAGTACAAAGAGCACGCTCAATCGGCCATCCACTTGCATGCTGAGCTCCTTTATTCGCTGAGGTTTATATTGTTTTTTGAGAGAATGATGAAAAATAACTCCTAAAACTTCATAATATTGAAGAAATAATTTTCTCTGACAGTCCCCTCATAATTCATAATACTGAAGAAATGACCTAAATTCATAATATTGAAGAAATAATTTTCTCTGACAGTCACTCAGCTGCGAATCATTTCACCCTAGGCTTCTACTTGGAATACTTGAATTACCTCTCAGGCTTACTTTGGCTACTTGAAGTATAAAAGAATATCATACAAAATAATAAAAATTTATGAGATTTCATTATTGGGCAGGATGTACTTAAAAATAATATTATTCTTGATATAATCAAAAAATTCATCTGACCAGTAGTGAATCTTGACATAATATTTGAATTAGAAACTTTTAAAATTAAATTTGGATCATCCCAATTCTACTTTTAAGCAAGCATATAGTCGAAATGAATTTTTCAATGAAACAAACCAAACAACACCAACAGTGCCTTGATTTCAATCCAAAAAATTCTAAATCAAGTACTCAAAAGTATAATTGAATACTTCATGATATTATTTGAGGGACCACATGATCTCGAAATCCTACACATATATAGTCAAAATGAGCATCTCAACTAGAAGAATCCAATATCATGAAAGCAGTTAAATGTCTAGGGAATAACAATGTCAATTGCACACTATCGACAATAAGGTGATGCTCATCATGGACACTAACATCGATGCATGTCATCAACAATTTATTTTAAGTACGCCCTTGATGCCAAAACCGACACACATCGTCGATTTTAATGCTGATACATGCCATCGTTAATAAGATCAAACACAGTACATAGAAGAACTCTAGTGCTTGCTATCACTAACAATATCAACGTATGTCATCACTAACAAGACTAATGCATGAAATTGATACCAATGCCACAGCCCTTCATCGCTACTATAACTGACACTTGTCATCAACATCAAACCCAACACATGCATCAACAACAAGGTCATTACCTACCACACCAACAATGCCAACACCATAAAATGATATCAACATCGATGCCGGACATCACCACCAAGACTTATGCTAGTATTCTTGGTCTCTAATTTTCTCTCATCTAAGGAAAGCAATCATGCAGACTATCAACCATCTCTTAAAGACAATTTCAACAACTCAAAGCTCCTATAACTTCCATCATATAAGTAGTCATCATCCATAATTCATGTCTACTAAATCATATAAATGTCTTCTCCAGTCATATAAAAATAAAACATTTGTAATCTACAACACACACCAATGAAATTAATTCAACTACAGACCTTGCGGTTTTCTCCTATTCTAAATTTTCACATAAAAATCTTGTATCTATTATGAGTTGATCTCGAATTATATATGCGTGCTAAATCTTTATATAATGCTAACATAACTATTTTTTATTTCTACTAACATGAACACTCTAGCACACAAACATTCTAAATTTTACAAACATCTTCAAAGTTTCTCAAAAATAATGACTTAATTTTTAT